GAGTGTCACCGTCAGAATGTCCAACTTTAGAAGGTGTAGAGTAAGATGTTTTTTTCCCACCTGTCCAGGGTAAACCTCTAGAACCTTGATCCATCCTCCTCCTAGAGACCAAGCATCTCTGTTATGTGTTTTTTTGGGGAAGAGTCCAAAGATGTCTCTGCATATCAAAGGACTGAGTCTGCAATTCAAGGCCCGGGGAAGAAAGGCGAGGGCAGCTCCCATGAACGAGGCCTGTTTGTTCCTACCTGGCCACAGGATGATTGGTGGTTTTGGAAATGTGATTACTGTTGGCCTGTTGTGTCCCTGAGCTGGCCAAGTAGAAGTCACAGGGTAGTGCTCTGGCCTCCATGGCCTATTCTCTGCTGCTCTTCATAGGGCCTTTGTGCTTGCCATGGATGGGAAGGGTGTCCTTAGACTTAGGAGAGGCCTGGGTGGTTGCTATGACAACACTACATGATGGAGTGATTCAACAGGCAAGGGTAAAGTTTGCAAAACAGTCACTGAAAGTGAAAAAAAAAAATCGAAACTTGTACTGATTCTCTTCCAAGGGAAGAGCTGTTTGCAGGCAGGACAGAGCTGTGCACATGTGCAGTGAGGGGTCCATGCTCCCAGTTCTGTACACACCTCACAGCTGCTCCAGTTCTCTAGAATGTTGGCCCAGGGGAACGGCTGAAGCAATGGGAGGGAACCTAGTCTCAGCTGCATCCACTGCCAGAGAACAGGGTTTCATCTTACCCTTTCACTTGGGGTCTGGCCCAAGTCTGGGACACATGAAAGCAGCTTGGTGAGGGATTCTCCAAAACTCTGAGGGCCAGGGGTTGTATATTGTGTCTTTTTTAAAAAACAATTTATTTACTTTTTATGTGTATTGGTGTATGCATGTATGTCTGTGTGAGGGTGTCAGATCTTAGAGTTATAGATGGTTGTGAGCTGCCATGTGGGTGCTGGGAACTGAACCCGGGTCCTCTGATAGAGCAGTTGGTGCTCTTAACCACTGAGCTATCACTCCAGCCCTGTACATTGTGTCTTAAAGGATGTCTGTCCCTGTAAGAAGTCCATGGTGGGTGTGTGTCCCTTTTACAGACCCAGGGAGGAGGTGACACTGTCACTAAGTCGCAGTATCCTGTGCTGGCCTTCCTGGCAGTTTAGCGTATCTTATTTTCCATCCCATATGTTACTTGTTCTGGGAGAGCTGAACAAGAGCACAGTGTGCTCGTCTTAGTTCTCTTCCTATGGCAGAGGCCCTAGTACAGACTACCTGCAGTGATGGGCTTTGTCCTGAGACTAACATCAAGGAGCATTAACCAGGCCCTGAGGGGCCCTGTCTGTATGCAGGCTGCGGTTAGCAATGTTTCCATCAGCGATCTGTAGTGGCTAACGTGTACTCAGGCAATCTGGGGCAAGGTATTATTTACCATGCTGACGTCAATGAGAACATATTATCCACTGTCCTTTCTGTAGTTTGAAATGAGCCTCAGAGCTCAGAGAACACAGCCACCTTCCACAGTGTGAAAACTCTACCCGGTACTCAATGAGGTGGAGACCTGCCTATAATCTCATTAGCCTGACATTCACATCACCAGGCTTTTAGAAAACAAGGTGTTTTTATTTTAATTCAGGAGGGTTGGAAACATAAAGACAGTACATTTTCCTTGCAGAAAATTACTCCATTTAAATTACCATTTGGTACAAAGATCATTTATTAAACTGCATTTTAGGCAATTTTCTAACACTGGCAGGTTACACTTTGATTTTCCACATTGGAGCTATTAGGATTTGCACTCAAAATACCAAAGCTATGGAAGTCACCAATTTTTTTCTTAGTAATTAAAAAGCACACAGAAAAAAAATGACTACAGTCAGATTAAGTTTATCGAAAGTAACTCACAGACCAAGCTGAACCCAGCAAGACCACTCCCTTCCTTTCTGCAGTAGGCAGATGGCCTTGCCGCCTTTCTACAAAGTGCAAATAATCTCTGCCACTCACTTCTTAAGCTGCAGTCTCCAAAAGCAAGCCAACTTCAACTTCCCCTTTTTCTTGCTGCTGCTTTCTCCTTCACAGATTCTGGTAGAGGCAGATTTTTTTTTTTTTTTTTTTAAACTATGGGTAATGGGGTTGTTTAACCACTTGAATTTCCTTGACTGAGCAAATCCTGGGCGGGTAGGCATTAGTTATCTGCACTTCGTAATGTAACATTACTCCATCCACGGGGATGTTGTTTGTATTTCTATTTTTAAAGCTACCCCTACTCACCCATTTTGGTTCTGAAAAGACTTAGCATTCCATCATCAAAGCGCATTACCATTTTGTAATCCTGGAAGTGTTTAATAAGCCTTCCTTCTTGGCAGGACTTATTGTAAAGAAATGTGCTGGGTGGGAGTGGTGCACGCCTTTAATGCCAGCACTTGGAGGCAGAGGCAGGCTGATCTACAAGTTTGAGGCTAGCCTGGTCTACAAGTAAACCAGGACATTCTAGGACAGTCAGAGCTACATAGTAAGACCCTGTTTCAAAAGACCATTAAAAAAAGAAAAAGAAGTGTTCTACATGCCATCCCTTTAGAATAAAGGTTGAATTCACGATTCTGTGGGCAACCATCTTCTCTGGGGTTGACTCTGTTGACTAAATTTCCCCTTTGGCAACCAGGGAGGAATCCTTCCAATATATACTCACAGAGAAAAAGCACCAGGCTACATAACTCTGAAGGAGCAGACATCCTTAATTTAAGCCTAAACTTCCGCAATTTATTGGACAGTTGGATGTCCAGCCTGTGGTGTCCGTCTTTCCCTCCGTGTCTGGCACAGTCACCTGGATAACTACAGTGGGCACTTAAAGCCAGGCAGCTGTCAAGTGGGGTGGGGCTGTCCGGACAGGGCAGCCTTGTTTATGTAGCTGTTTGCTCTCAAGAGGAGGGGCTGTGGGCAGGGCTCCAACACAGAAGCACAGCCAGAAGCCAGGCGAAGGTGCTTGTCTCTGTACCGCCACTTCTGAGCTCTGTGACCTCAGCTAAGTCATGGATCCTTCGAGAGCTTTGCTCTCCTCAGCTGTGAGAACTACAGACCATCTCTCTTTAGCTACTTTCACAGAAACGATATGAGGAGTGTGAGAGCGCACTTGTGCAAGTGCCTGGTCCGTTGCTGTGAAAATGGACAGGCAAGCCGAGAGGGCAGGACCTGCAAGCACCGTCCTTGGTTAAGTTGCTGGGCAGTATCTTTACCTGTCTGTCAGCCCATGCAGTCATGTACCCAAATCTGCTCACAGGTAATGTGGACATAAGACGTGGTACAACTAGGAAGGCTGGAGTCTTCTACAATCAACTAGGCTGTTGTAACGGGGTAAAAATGGCTAACTGAGTAAGTGAGAGGATGATGGGGATCGGATGGATACTTTAGGGCCAAAGGACCCTTTACAGGTCACTGTCTCATTCCATTTACCACCAAGGGCAGGGAGAAAAGCCAGGAAGGCTCTCTGGACTCCCAGCCAGGGAAGACGTGTGTGTGTGTGTGTGTGTGTGTGTGTGTGTGTGTGTGTGT